TTGTGGAGGTGTACCTTGGCGTACGGAGGTGTACGTTGGTTGTGGAGGTGATTCAGGTCTTTCTCTCCCAGTCCCCAGTCCCCCCACCCCCAGCTCTGGCCCTCAGTCTGGCTGCTACAGGCCCTGGAGCCCCCTGCAGGGGTGCATCTCTTGAGTGAGACTTTATGTGACCCCAGCTTCTCAGAACAGCAGTGAGCCCGGCTGCACCTAGCCACCCCCATGTGTCCTGGCCCCACTTTGTGGACTTGGGCTCCAGCTCGTCCTTTGGGAGGAGCGGTAAAGCCTTCTGTTCTCCGGGCTCTGTCCCCATCTTGTGGGGAGCGGGGCATAATGGGGGCTTGTCTCCTCCTTTCCAGAGTGGTTACGGGGTCCCCATGACCTCTATCTGTCCAGTCTAAAGTCTCGTCCAATGGTGTACCCCCAGAATCCTCCAGGCCCACAATCAAGGGGGATGAGGAGGGGAAGGGAGATAGAGTCATAGCCCTTCCCTACCACTTGAGAGATGCACGTTGGGCCTTTGGCTAACTCGAGCCTTGTTTGTTCATTTGTCCGTGGGATTGGTGGCAGCCTTTTGTACAGTTTTTACGGGTCCCAGTACAGGGAGCACACAGAGCAGGCTTGGTGTCTGCACCTTGGTGTGTCATTATAGTCAGCAACAGTGGCACCAACAACCACATGTTCTGTGCTTGGGACAGCATTTAACAGATGGGGACACTGAGGCTTAGAGAGGTGGAAGTCTGGTCTTCGGATATGGACCCTGACCAGTGGTCTCAGAGCCCAGGGTACTTGACCACTGCTTTCCTGACTCCCCAGTACCTCGTCATCTTGGGACCATTTCTAGCAGGGTTCACCGGGTCAGTCACAGTTGGGTCTCCTTTTGGAAATGGAGTCATGTCTTCGAAGGCCCCAGGGGAACTTTGGGCTTTGGAAGGGGTACAAGGCTCTTGGAGCTGGTGTGCAGATCAGGAAGGGACCCATCCCAACTTCCTGTTTGGGGGCTCAGGAAGCCCCCCTCTGGGCACCTACATTCCTAAGACAGTGAGGAACTTGAGAAGATGGGCTTCCTGAACCTGCATCGTGTGCCGTGGCTCTGGTCTGAGAGGGGCTCAGCCTAGAGTCAAGTGCCGTGAACCTCGGCAGTTTCCCGCAGCCCGGCTACCCCAGTGTTGCTTCTCATGTGTTTACCGCTTTCTTGAAGGGCAGCCACTAGGGGTCAGGAACAGCCCTCCCGCCCCCCAGAGCTGTAGAATGAATGCACAGCAAACTCCTATTCATCCATCAAAACCCGGTTTATATAACCCTCCGATTACCTTTCTGGAGAGAATGATTGGTCCTCAAGTGTGTACCACAGGACCCTTTACTCCATCTGAGCTACAAATCTGCTATTAGCGCTCCTGACCCACTAGCGTGAGCTTAACTCAGGTAGGCTGGGTCTGATTTATACCATGTCTTTGCAGCGCTCTGCCCTGGCCTTACCCCAAACCCAGTCCTTTGCTTGGTCTGACTTGGGGCTTCTGGTGGATGCTTTCTGCTTCAAGGGTGTGCTGGGCCGAGAGGGTCACAGTAACTGTTGAGGTACCTGCTCTCTGCCCCTGCCCTGAACCTAGGGGACACCCTGGAGAGGCTCAGCCCTACACTTTCTCCCTTCTGTGAGCCTGGAGGTGAAGGACATCTTCCTTCTGCTGCCTTTCTGTTCCTCAGTCTCCTCATCTGTAAAATGGGGTGGCACTCGTGTCCACCTCACGTGGTGTTTGTGAGCTTTCCGTTTTCATACTATCAGCCGTGTATTTGCCTGATGTGTGGCACGTGAGTGCTCGTTAAGATGGTATCCGATATCATCATTGTCTCTGAACCCCAGGCCCCAGCCACACTCAGAGGCTGCTGGTCTCGGGGTTCTGGCTCTGCACTGGATACTTCTGATCTTGGGTGGGCTGGGCCTTGAGCTCTAGGCAGAGCCCTCCTATATGCCCTGTCTGTCATGGGGGGTCCAGAGTGGAATGAAGCACCTTGGGGCAGTCTGGATTTGGGGACCATCAAAAGGGTGATTTTGATTTGACTTGCTCGTTAGCTCATCTTCTCAGCTCCCAGCTCCTACCAAAAGGTCTCCCCCCAGTTGGCTGAGTTGGGGTGCCCAGCAGTTCCTGTGTGGCAGAACAACTTGACATTAGATTTCCATTTTCAAATGAGCACAGCTCAAGCTGCTCTGAACACTTGGCCGGCAGCGCTTGGACCTGCCCTACAAAGCCCCCAGTGAAACCGTCACAGCCCCTCTGTCCACCCTTCACACCCCCGCAGTCTCTGGCAGGCCCTGGTGGTCCCAGGCTGGGGCCTGTGTGGTACAATGCCCCCTTCATGGTGGTGCTGGGGTGGGGGCTCGAGCTTCAGGGGCTGGGCTGGCGGCCAACTAAGCCTTCTGCCACACGGCCGTGCTATCCTAATAAGTCCCGTTGTGTGTGGGGCAGGAGGCGGAGGCCAGGGGCAGCCCAGAATCCTAGAAAGGTATCTCTTAGAGGCTTCCTGGCCCCCTCCTTCCTCCTCCACCCCCCCTCTCTGGCTGCATTAACTCTGAGGTAATCGCAGACAACACAACCAGCTTCCCGGGTGCAGGCAGACATCGAGAGCTGGCAGAGTTCTGCTCCGACCATCTCTCCTGGGGAGCTGGCCTGGAGGGGTGTGTGGGGGGCAGTGGTTTGTGGAGTCTTTAGTGAGTACCCTGCAGGAGGCCAAGCCCAGGGAGGGCTCAGAGGGCCCCCGGCCTCGCAGCTCCCCCCCCTCACCCCCCAGGCTGTGGCTCTGAGAGTAGGGGCTAGGCAGCTGTCTGCTGTTCTAGGAGGCCTCTATTTATAATCTCTTCTGTGTTGGTTTTTTTTTTTTTTTTCTTTTCCTCCTTCTCTCTCCATCACCCTGCAGAAGAAGGCGGAAGCTGCACATCGGATCCTTGAAGGCCTGGGGCCCCAGGTGGAACTGGTGAGCTGGGGTTCAGGGTGGGAAGCCCTGGGATGGGGGCACGATTTTGGGGTGGCAGGTGGGTGTGGAGAGGAAGGAGGAAGTCTCCCATTACAAGAGCTTGCTTCTGCAGAGGCAGGAAACCCACCCTCTGATAAGAGGCGGGTGGGGCTGTCTGCAAGAAGGTGCACCCCTGTGCAGTCCACCTGTGTGTCCAGCTTAGACCTGAGCTTGAGTCACTGTGAATCCTGAGCCTCGGTTTGCTCATCTGTAAGGTGGGGATAGTAGTGAACCCCTCTCCCATTGGGCTGTAGTGAGGATTTGTGGTATTCATCTGTGTCATGCACCAAGAAGTGGGCCTGGCCCGCAGTGAGTGCGTGCCAGCTGTTTCTCACTGTCTTCATTGTCGTCTGAATAACTGGAAGACAGCTGCGGCAACGGCAGAGCTGGGCACAGACCCCGGCCTCTTCTCTCTCAAGTCAGGGAAACCTGGGGCCTCCTAGCTGGTGGCTTTGGGGTCTCCGCCTGGGGGTGGTTGACAGCAGGTTATATACTATTTCAAGAGTCCATTGGCCAGAACAGTGGCTTGATTTCCAGTTAGACTGTGTAACACGAGGCTCAGCACTTGGGAGCATGTTGGTCTCATTCAGATGGCTTGACAGAGTGACGCTGGCCCCCCGTCGTGGGCCTCCTGTAAATTCGGTATGCACTGAAGTTCAGCATGGTCCTGGGGGGCCACACGGTACTGCTGCTCTGGTTTGCTCACATTTGCTTTTATTGTGTTTTCCACATTAAATATGAAATCAGTTTCATGGAGATGGTTTGCTTAATTGAATGATATAGATTAGTCCTATTTAATAATAACTCGAAGTACGCCTATGAACATAAACACAGCAGAGCCCCCAGCCTCAGGAGAGCAAGGCAGAGCCACGGCTGTGCAGAACCAGGTGGTGGACACATCTGAGCTGTGGAGACAGGGACAGGTGGGCTGAGAATGGCCATACTGCAGCAGGGGGCATGGGGGTGGGGTCTGGGGCACCTGGGGTGGAGATGCAAGGGGGTCATGTTGGAACCTAAAGTTAGACCAGCTATACCATCTCCTTGCTGAATGGCCTTGTTGTGGTGGTTGTTAAGTGCTGTCAAGTCGGTTCTGATTCATCACAACCCTGTGTAGGGTTTCTGAGGAGCGACTGGTGAGTTCAAACCCATCTTGCAGTCCAGTGCTTTATCCTACAGTGCCACACCAGGACTCCTCAGTGGTCTTAGGAGACTTTGAAAGCTCCCTCAACCCAGCTCTGGGCCCTGAGCAAGCCCTGGGTCCTGGGAGCAGGTGCTGTCTGACTGAGGGAGGAGCATGAGCTCTGCTCAGTGCTGAGTCTCTGCTTCCCAGGCCCTCCTGGAACTGTGGCTGACTGGCTGGAGTTGCCTCCCGGGTCCTCATGGGCAGGGACAGATAGGCAGTGGTTGGGTTCCTGTGCCAGGTGGGCAGACCCAGTGATCTTTGGATGGGCTCCAGAGCCTTGCTTAGCTCCTCTCCCCACATTGCCTCAAGGTGCTTCCTCAGGGACCGGACCCAGGGGCCCAGGGTTTTCCCCTGTGGGATGACTCCCAGGAAGACTGACAGAATGCCTCCCTTTTTAGAACAGTGTCATGAGATAGCCATCAGGTATCGTACGGGGCTTTTGTATGATATGTACAAGTCAGTGGTTTTAGGGTCACTAACACAGATTTCTGCAGCCATCACCACAGCCCATTTTAAAGCATCTTCGCCACCCCAAAAAAGAAAACCCCATACCCTGTAGCTATCACTTCCCTTTTCTCCTCGCTGCCCCCCAACCCCTGGCAACCGCTGCTCTGCCTTCTCTCTCTCTGGATTCACCTCTTCAGTGAAATGTCACGATGAGCAGCATATCTGCGTGTCTGGGGTCTTTCATTCAGCATTGTGATCTCATGTTCCATCCACGTTGTGGTGTGAATCAGATCTTGTTACGGCTGGATTATGTCCCATTGTGTGGGTAAAAGCACAGTTTGTTTGTCCATCTGCTGATGGACACATGGGTTAGTTCCACGTCGGGGCTGTTGTGATGAGGTCTGCAAACTCAGATGGCGGGATTAGAGTGTGGTGCCCCTCAGGTAAGCCCATCTGCCCTGGGCTCCCGGCACGTGAGGCATGCAGGTAGGTAGGAGAGCAGGGCAAGACGCTGTGGGTTTAACCCTTAGGGCTGGGGCGTCTTCTCTAGTCTCTGGGGAGGTCTCAGAGCAGAGGCTGTTGGCACAGGATCTGAAGTGTTGGGGGCTGTGTAGTGGTCAGAGCGCTGTGTAGGTGGTTCTGGGTGGGGAGGGAGCTGGCCCATGACAAGAGGCTTCGAGGGCAGAGCTGAAACCACTCAGCAAGGGCAGCTCAATGATTGTTCTGCACAGGTCGGGCATCTGTCGTGGCACCCAAAGGACTGTTCTGCCTGCCAGAGGTGTCCCACGGGTGGGTGCAGCCAGAACAGGGTTTCCTCTAGACTCTCAGGTGTCTCCAGGCCATACCACGGGGGTCCAGCCCCTGAGCCTCCCATCCATAGCTTGAGGGCATAGCCGGGGCACTCGGCCCTTGAGGACATGTTGCTCTGCCCTTGCCGGCCCTGTGACCTCACCCTGGAGAAGAGGAAATGGCTCGGGAGACTGGGGAACAGCACCCCCTCTGGGTCCCAGGCTGCCTGCGGCTCCAGCCCCTGTAGCTTTGAGTCAGTCCCTGGGTTTCCTTCCTGTACTGAGCTGTTATTTCCAGAGCTCGGCGCCACTGCAGGGTGGAGGACTGGCTGACATCTCATCTGTGACCAGCTCGGGCCACCTGGGACTTGGCACTGGTCTCAGCCACTCTGCCAGCTGGCCTGAAGTTGGGCCGGAAGGGGACCCCTGCCGACACCCCCTTATCTCTAAGTCACACTGAGATATTGTTTCTGTCCAGTGCTCGGGTTTTCTGTGTCCCCATATTGGGCGAAGGAAGTAAGTCCTGAAGAGGCTCAAGGTGAATCATCAGACGGGACTTCTATGGGGTCAGCCTGGAGCTAGCTCCCTGTGGGAGATAGCTTTTCCTTACAAATCTGGGTACCCTTAATGGGTGGTGGAACTTGTGAGGGAGACTTGAGGGACAGTTCTGCCATGGCTGTGAGGCATGAAGCTCACCTCAGGGGTGCCATGTTGGGGCTTGTTTTCTGGGATAAGGGTCGGTCTGGGTGGAAGGAACTGCCTAGCCTTTGACTGGCTTCTCTTCTTGTGTCGAGGGAGGGTTATTAGCAGATAGCCCCTCAGACTTTGTGGTCTCCTCAGAGGGGCCGCCTTAGAATGCTTATCTTAGGGCCCAACCTGCAGGCCTCCCAAGATGGCCACTCGAGGGGGTCCGTTGCCATGGTAATGTAGGGCTCCCCAGGCTGCTCTGGGCCCCAAGTCATCACTTCTCCTCAGGCCTCAGTTTACCTCACAGAGAGCCTGTGAGGGGCACACCCCACAGAGTCTGCATCGCTCTCTTCCTCCAGGGTCTTACCTGGGGATCCTGAGCATCACTCCCAGGGCTACCTGCCCCGTGAGCTGAGAACGAGCGCCCCCGTCCCATCTTGGGGGGCTCAGGCCCCTCACTTTCCTCTTGAAGCCAGTCTCCCCTTTTTAGACCCATTCCACCCCCTCTGCCTGGCTCCTGAGACTGTGACAACGTGACCAGTTGTAATCTTTCACAGCTAATGAAGCAAATCAGTCACCCAATCTGACACTCTTGCCCTGTGAGGTTGGTGTTCCCCTTCTACAGGTGAGAAAATTGAGGCCCGAAGTCACTTGTCTTTGGTCTCTCTGGCCAGTGTGGGAGGAGCCAGCATTTAAACCGCGGCTGTCAGTTCTTGGACTAAGAACCTGCCAGCTGCACCCACTGCTGCCCTGCCTGTAATTTCTTGGCACACAATAGACATCGGAGGCCCTTCCTGCAGGTGCAATCCAGGGTTAGACACACAGACACCACACAGGCCCCTTAGCTGCTCACTAGTACCAAGATGAGGATTCCAACCTTCTGCAAGAGTGTCTGAGCACCTCTCTCTACTCGGAAGTTCTGCAGTGAGTCTGACTGCGGGCTCTCTAGCTGTTGTGTGTGCTTTTCCCACTTGGGAGGGAGAGGGTGGGGAAAATGTCACACACACACACACACACACACACACACACTCACACTCACACTCACACTCACACACACACACACACACACCACCACCATCACCACCACCCGTGTCTTGGACCTTTGGAGGCAGCCTCACCCAGTGTTGGGAGAAACGATCTTTGCCAGCTGAGGGGGACAGCTCCATTCCTGAGAGAATAGTTGAGCTTGAACTTGGAAGGCCCCGAAGTCAACAGTGAATGACTACAGTAGGATTGGGTTGGGGGCGGGGGTGGTTTCTTGAAGTGATATTGTCATTTCCAGGAACAGGTGGCCTGGGGCCCCATCAGCGGGATGATCAAGATGTTGGTGGGTGGCAGGAAATGTGTTGTGTGCCAGCCCTGGTGCCTGAGGCCCGGGACTCTAGGCCACCTTCCAGCACTTGTCCTGCCCTGTCCTGATGGCAGTACTTTCTGTACTTGACCTTCCTGCCCCCTGCCCCTTAGCAGCACTGTGTGTGGGTGTGTGAGAGAGAGAAGACCCTTCTCTGGGAGGGGCACTGACAGATGGGTGCTAGTCAAATCAGTCTCATAGTTCTGGTCACATGTGTCATGCTTAGAGCGAAGGATCAGAGACAAGGGCCGTGAGTGTGCTTGGGGCTCAGTGGGGAGACAGGAGTTGAGGCTCCAATGGGATCCCCACGTGTGTCAGCTTCATGAGGAACCAACCAGCTTCCGAGTAGCGGCTTGCAGAGCAGGCGTGAGGATTCCTCACGTCCAGGAGGGATCTCAGGTGTTCCTGGCCAGCATGGGAAGTGGCTGGGTGAGGACCGTTCAGCTCTGTTCTCCAGGTCTTCCTCCTGCACTAGGCCAACCTCAGCAGGGCTCTCTAGGCAGAAGTGGACACAGCTGCAGCCACCGGCTTGTCACTGCTCTGCTGACCACCCCTGGGGCCTGGGTGCAGGGAGCCGTGCAAAAGGCAAATCGTGACCACAGGCAGTCTGTTTCCATGCTGAGAACAATGCAAACCGGGCTCGTGTCCTTCAGTCAGCCCCGAGCTGGAGCTTGTGAGCTGACCCCATCTTGCAAATCTGACGCACAGATGCACGAACTAACTTGGCTCTGGGACTCACCGCTAGAAAGCAGCACGATCAGGATTTGAACCCTGGCCTTTCCCTTCATCCTTCCCTATCGAGAGGGAAGGAAGGGAGGCCACAGTATCTGGCCCTTCTCCCCATGGCTCCCCAAGCACTTGGAACCCTGTGCTTACCAGTGTGTGGGGTCCTGGTGGACTCATTTTTTAGACTGCGTGGTGCTGGTGGTGGAAAACACATCCCGACCTCCATGTGTAGGCTTTGGTGAGGTGAGGTGCTTTCTGGAACTTTCTGGTGTGGATGGTACTTTCCGGACACACAGCATCTTCATCTGGAGGCACGTCCACGTGTTTCTGGGGCATCCTTGCACCCTCAGTCTTTACACAGGCTGCCCGAGTTCTCTCCCCGGTCACCCTGAGTCCTCACCAGCATTTAGCATGATTGACATTTCCTATCATTGGCTGATTGGTGGGTGTGGAGTGGTGTGTGGTGGTAGCTTAGAATTCCAGCTCCTGGAATGTGTGGCTTGTCCCAGGGGTCCCATCTCCACTGGCCCTTCTGAGTGTCTTGTAGAGACACCTGTGGCCTTGGTTGGAACGACATCCCCACCGCAGCACCCAGGAGTCCACAGCCATGTTCATGTCCACCGCGGTGGGTTGCTCACACCAGCGTGGCACCAGGCAGTGGTGCTTGGCCTGGGGCAGCCGCATCTGACCTCTGACCTTTTCCATCTCCTTCCTTTGTAGCCTCTGTATAACCAGCCTTCTGACACCCGGCAGTATCATGAGAACATCAAAATGTGAGTCCTCCCCGGCCCCATGTAGGCCGAGGGCAGGTGAGGGAGAGGGGGCCTGGGTGGGGATAAGTCCTCTCAGGCACTTGGCATATTGGGGGGTCCTGGGTTGGGTGCTCTGATTCTGCCTGGGTTCTAGCAGGGTGCAGGGAGGAGTGGTGTGACCAGAGGTGGGCCAGGCAGGACAGCTAGGGCGGGGTCCCAGCAGCCCAGGGAGCCTGGAAGCTGAACATTGTGTTAGAGATTCCGTAGTACCTGTCAGAGCTGGTTTTGGGGATGGGGTAGAGTATCCTTGTCTGGAACCTTCATTCATTCCAGCACACATTTATTAAGAACCTACTATGTGCCTATCCCTGTTCTAGGCCCTGGAGATTCAGCTGCGAACCCACTTGGAGCTTTCTGTGTAGCACCACAGACAGGCAATTAGTCGGTTACCAAACTAGGGTGACGGGAGGGACACTGGGATGAGAGAGCTAGAACAGCTCGTACCCAGGCCCTGGGGCTGCCTGAGCTGGCCTGTGATCACAGAAACCGGTGTGGCTAGAGGGGAATGGGTAGGCGGTCACCTGCCTGAGGAGACAGTGGGCTCTGTCATCTTTGTTAAGGGGAGCCAGGTCTGGGCTCCATCCGATATGCTGTGTGATCACGTTTGTTTTCAAAGCTGCTCTGGCCGCAGGGAGAGGACTGGGGTGGCCATCCCGGCAGGCCACAGTGGTTTCGATGTGAATGACCCCCTGGGGACTTGTGAAGCAGCCAGCTTTGAAAGCTGTGCATGGGCTTTGGCTATTGGAGGACAGCCCTCGGGAGCCCTCCCTCATGTGACCGGGCATCCAGGCTCAGACCTGCCCACCGCTCCCCCTGTGTCATTTACTCTCAGGGCTGAGTTTCTGCATCTGTGAGAAAAGCCAGACCAGATCTACTGTCTCTGAGTCATTCTGGACTCAAGGCGGGCATGTAGGACAGAACAGAGCTGCCCGAAGGATCCCCAAGGCCTGTAAGGAAGCAGACTGCCTTGACTTTGTTCTTGTGGACTGACTGGTAGGGTGGGTTTGAACCGCTGACCTTTTGCTAGCAGCCCAACACTGAGCCCACCTAGACCAAGGCTCCTTCCATCTGTGGGCGGTTGGGGTTGATGTGGGGGTACTGAAGATGCCTTGCGCTTCTGCATGGTTGGGACTAGCGGCTCTGCTGTTCGCCTCACTTCTCTGTCTGTAGATGACTGATTGGTGCTCATACCTTCACGCCCTTGGCATGTTTCTGAGAGCTCGCTGCATAAAGGCATTCTTCCCACTTCCTTCCTGGGTTTCCCGTTTCTCTTGCTCCTCCTTTGGTGTGTCTGTTGCCTTCTGAGCGTCTCCCTAGGCAAAGGCTTCCATTTTTCATAGGGGTTTTGAGAGCTAGTTTTTCGGAAGTAGTTTGTCTGGTCTTAGTTCCAAGGCACCTCAGAGTGGTCTCAAACCTTGAGTCTTTCAGTTAGCTGTGCACCACTCTGGGTCCTCTCTAGTGGCAGAGAAGGTAGTAAGCACATCTGTAGCACCTTGACAGCGGCTATCCTGGTACGAGGTAAATGAAGCAGGGTCACCCTGGCCTCTCTGCCTACCCCCCTCCTCTGCTGCAGTCTAAGTGAGGTGAGATGCCAGCCCTTGACCGCCCCAAGGACCTTGCTCCTGTCACTTTGATGTTCCCGCATCTGAGTGCAGAGTTGTGGAGGTAAAGTTAATTTCACGCTTGGCTTCTTGCTGCTCTGGCAGTTTGGAACACACTAAAGTCACCTGTCCACACCTTCACTGCTCCTTCTTCACCACCTGCTGTGGGGATGGTAAGGGGATGATTGTCCCCTGGGCCCCTGACGACGCCCCACCGGGCTACCACTCCCCTTTCCCACTGTCCTTGTTACATCACCTGATGTCTTTGCCTCTTTAGGGCCTTGGAGATGTAAGGATCAGCTGGGATCCAGTTTCCTGTTTAAAGGTCTCTGTAGCTCTGGAGGCTCAGAGACAGCAAGTGACTTCCCCAAGGTCACACAGCCTAGTGCCTGGACCAGCTGGTGTCCACCCTTTCCCTGCCCTCTGCAGGCTCTCCTGGCCAGCAGGTGCCATTAGACAGTTCCTCACCTCTGTCTCCATTTGCCGGTCAGCACTGTGACCTCCTCAGAGTGTCTTTCCCAAGCCTGTGAGAACCCCTCAGGGGGCACAGGGGAGGGTTCTGGGCTCCCAGGAAACAGAAGGGTCAGACTCCTTTCTCAGACCCAGCAGCTGGGGGCTCAGCTCTGCCTGATCACCCCTTTGTATAATGCCCTTATTTCCCTCTGCATGATCCAAACAAGCCTCAGCTCAACCCTACTTCCTCCAGGAACCTGCTGAGTACCCCAAGCTCTCCTAGTCTGCACCTCCAGGGAGCCCCACCCAGGCGCCACTGGCCCCCCTGGAACTTCCCAACAGCATCTGGCGCTTTCTCTCTCCTTCCTAGTCCTGTGTGCCCTCGTGTGCCCGGTGAGGAGACCTGCATTCTTCTCATACAGCTAGTGCTTGTTTCAGAAATGCCACATTTCTGCTGGAACAAGTCTTCAAACGTAGTAAGTTCTCCAAAAGGGTTTGCCAGAAGACTGTGGAACATACAGATGACCTAAACAAAATCGAAACCCCAAATTCAAGCCATCGAGTTGATTCTGACCCACTTAGACCCTATACAGGATTAGACAGCCCACTGCCTACCCCACAGTGCCACCAAGGTTCCGTAAATGTCTTCTGTTGGTTGTGTGACGTGGAGTTGATTCTGACTCAGAGTGACCCTGTACTGGGATTTCCAAGGCTGGAAATCTCTATGGGAGCAGAAAGCCTCATTCGTCTCCCGCAGAGCGGCTGGTAGGTTTGAACTGTTGACCTGGCAGTAAGCAGTCCAGCACCTAACCCAGAGCACCACCAGGGTTCCTTTAAAATACCATGACACTTGAATTAAATACTTATCCTTGTTCTAAACTTGGTGTTTTTTTCCTGTAGTGTGATGGTGATATCATCCACTTGGTTCCACCTCACACAGCCCCTGTATAAGGCTCTGAGGATGTAAATGTTTATGGGAGCAGAAAGCCTCCTCTTTCTCCTGCGGAGCGACTGGTAGACTTGAACTGCTGACCTTGTGGTTCGCAGCCTAACGTGTAACTGTGATACCACAGCATCTCAGGGAGTTGTAAACTCAGGGAGGGTAGGTACATCGGGTTAGTGAGGCATTTGGAGGTGGTGGGTCTGTGGTCCACAGAGAGCGTGGCCTCCTTTCCAAAGGGGCAGCCAGGCCTCAGGCCCCAGCTCTTGGTTTTGAGAGAACACAGCTGAACAACCTCATGCTTCATGAGAACCTTTGCATTCAGTTTTCTCTGCATCAGCTTCTGCTCCTCGTCAGTGTTGGCAGTGGATCTCGAGTTTGCACACAGCACTGCGGTCCAAACACAGACTCTCGGGGCCTGGCTGTAGCCCGGGGGCTATGTCTGTTTGTACATGGCCGTCTTGGGAGAAAGTGACTGCCTCCAGGTGCCAAGCATGGTGCAGCCAGAGATAATCCAGTTCCTCTGGGTCCCTCGGGGCACCACACTGGGCACACTGCATGCCCAACCCCAGGGTGCTGCCCCACACTGTGAGCTGTGGGAGGCCTCGCCTGAGCCCCTCAGGGAAAACGACAGATGATCTTCCTCCCCATGGCTGTCCAGAACGGCCATGTCCTGCTTGTGACTTTTTAACATTTCATCTTGAAATAACATTAGCTGTACAGAACAGTTTCAGAGTTGAGTGCAGGTAGTTCTCAGAGGCCCTGCTCCCAGCATCCTTGGATGTATTCTTGGAACTTCCATTAAAATTAACAAAACATTGGTACCCTAGTACAGTGTTTTCTCATCATGCTCCTTTACTCAGCTGAGTTCAATCACTCCTTACAGTGGCCACACAGAACTCAGACACCACACTCACAGTTAGGGGGTTTACTAGGGATGTTGTTGTTAAGTGCCATCGTGTCGATTCCGACCCATAGCGACCCTCTATAGGGTTTCCAAGGAGCAGCTGGTGAGCTTGAACCACGGACCTTGCAGCTCAAATGGCTTTGCAGTCTGGCGCAGCATTAGCACTCAGCAGCACACCAGGACTCCATTAGGGATGTTACCAGGTCAACATTCAGGGTCAGAAACACTCAGGACACAGTTCTTCCGTCAGGACAGCCTCGGCTAAGCTATGCCTACAGGAAAGCCTTTCTCTGTCTGGCATTGTTAACAAAACTCTTCGAGGGTTGCTGATATATGGCCGCTGAGCACACTACTCTAGAATAAGCCTCAGCTTTAAGGCCTTCAACTCTAGCCCTGTGGGTCAGCAGCCTCACTCCCCCAGTTAAGTACCTGGATGCCCTCTGCTCTGCAGACAAGCCTCCTGCCCACAGTCACTCGGCTGTACTTGCTCCATGGGCTGAGAAGCCCACCGCTCTGTCTGGGGCTCTGGTTCTTGGCTCTGCTGCTGCTGCTATTCTGCCCCTCCTCCTCCAGGGTCACAGCTTCCTGTCTAGGGGGCCGGGAGGTTCAGTGCGCAGGGATCTGGAGGTGGGGACAGGGACACGCTGCCCTTTCTGGCTCTTGTTTGATGGTAGATGGTGGTTTTATACCCTTGATAGTTTCCAGTTTTTACCATTACAAATGAACTCTGTTAACATCCACAGCTGAATCCTGTCATCCTTCGTGTCTCCTCCCACCTCCTCTCACCCATCCTATCAGGATGAGTTGTTTGTGGGAGTTAACTGCTGTAGTTAGGAAAGCTATATGAAGTCATCCACTGCCCTGCATTACCCTGATAAAAAACTTACTGACTGAAATGAAAACAAGACAAAAAAGGAAGCCAGTCGCCACTGAGTGGACACCGAATCACGGTGCCCTTGTGGCGTGTGTAGGAGCAGAACTGCACTCCACACGGTTTCCAATTAGAAGTAGGTTGCCAGGCCTTTCTTCTGAGGTGCCTGTGGTTGGACTCAAACCTCCAACCAATGGGTTAGCAGTTGAGCACGTTAACCATTTGCACAAATTAGACTGTAGACTTAACTTCTGGTGTAAGGTGCTGTCGAGTTGGTTGTGACTCACAGAGATCTTGTGCACAACAGAAGTAAACACTGCCCCGCCCTGTGCCATCTTCACAGTTGCTGTTACATTTGAGCCTCTTGATGCAGCCAGTGTGCAGGTCCATCTCGCCGGGGGTCTTTTTTTCACGGACGCTCTGATTTACCAAGTGTGATGTTCTTCTCCTAGGATAGGACTAGAGCCTTAACCTTGGAGGTTCTAGGCTCTCTCGAGTCAGCCTGTGAGCTTGTTGGATCCGTTCCAACTCGCAGTGACCTCTAAGCACAGCAGAAGGGAACACTGCGCGACTCCTGCGCCGTCCTCACAAGTGGCGTTGCGTTTGAGTTGTCTTCTCCTTAGCCCCGCCCCAGTCTGTGGCCCGCCTTTCCTAGGGTTCGGAGCCCTAGCAGCTTCATGTCTCGGTTCTCTCCACCGTGTGACATCAGTGATTTCCATCCCAAGGTCCCGTGGAGTCTGCCAGCCTTCTCCACTCATAGGTCATTCAGGAACCCTGGTGGTACAGCGTGTTCAGTGCTGGGCTGTTTTCTGTGTGAGAAAGACGAGACAGTCTTCTGTTGTAAAGATGTGGTCGTGTTGCTAAGTACTGTCAAGTCGGTTCTGACTCATCATGGCCTCCTATGTAGGCTTTCGGAGGCTGGAGGACACTGTGGGATGAAAAAGTCTCATCTTTAGCCCACGGAGCAGCTGGTGGGCTCGAACCGCCAACCTTGTGGTTTGTGATTCAGTGCTTATCCTACAGAGCTGCGACCCACTCTCCATGAAGACTTAATGCTCTGGAATCCCTATGGGGCAGTTGTGCCCGGTCCACAGCGTCATTGTGAGTCAGGACTGGACAGCTGTGGGCTGGCTTTGGTTTGAGTTTTAGGCCGATTTGAAGGCGCTCTGGTGACACAGTGGTTAAGCAATTGTTCAGTAGCAGAAAGGCCGGCAGTTCAAATCTGCTCCTTGGGAGAAAGATGCGGCTTTCTGCCCAGATGATAACCTTGGAAACCCTATGAGGTCGGTTCTGCTCTGACCTGTCAGGTCACTGTGAGTCCGGATCTACTCAACAGCCGTGTGGAGAAGCCACACGTGTGTGGGCCTATGTTACAGCCCCCCAGTGCATCATGAATATCTTGAAGAAAGACTTGCAATTCATTTCGCCTTTCTCGGTGGACTGGCCTGCAGCCAGGGTGGCCTTGGTATGGAAGACTGGTTTTCTCGCTGCCTCAGCCTGTCCGTCTGTATTCACTGGACTTCTCTGTCTGTCTGTCACTCATCAGTGACTTGTGCTGTGTGAGCTTGTGGATGCTTATTTCATCTGTTCCTGTGTCGTTGAGCTGGGTCCCTGTGAATGACAGTTCTTTGGGGTCTTTGTTTGTTGTTCTGAAGTTCAGGTTGAGATCAGTGTGCATTTTGGGGTCTTTCTGACCTAGGGGTTCACCTTCCAGTACGCTGTAGGGCCATATTCTCTTGTGATCTGTAGCGTTTTCACTGACTGATTTTTCAACACACGTTACCTGGTCTTTCTTCCTCGTCTATCCGAGTCTGGCTGTGACCGCGTACCTGTGCTATTTGTTCTCCAGCTCTGCCCTTCAGGAACTTTTTCAGGTTGGCTTTGGCATCCTTTGATGTTTTGCTCTTTGGGCACTTTGTTTCTTTCTCAGTCTTAGAGCCACCCCAGCCTCACCTGGAGTGTTTCCTGTCCTAACCCTGGACTCCCCTGTTATGCCGGAGCGTCCTGCTTTCTGTTACTGGAGAATGGCATCAGGGACCAAAATCCTGGGGCTCGTTGTGTCATTGTAGCTGAGGCACTAATGCTTCTCAGCCCCCTTGGCTGTCTGCCTGCTTAGTAAAAGTCCACACCCATTCTAGTGTCCAGACCCACAGGTGGCCCTGCTGGCCCCAGCCACTCCCTGACTCATCTCTGAGGGCATCCACCCCAGGGCCTTTGCGCATGCTGTGTCTGCCATCTGACTGCTCTTTCCCATGGCATGGGTCTCAGCTCCAGGCGCTGTCTGTGGGCCCCCTAGAGCACCACCTCTGTGAGGATGTAGCTGCCTAGTAAATGGGTATTGAGCAACTAGGGAGACAGCAGCCTGATGCTTGGGATGAAGAACGGAGGCTCATAGTGGCCCTGTTGGCATGGAGACTGGGTCTCTGGACCCCTAGGCCCAGGGTATGGAGCCTGGTTGAGTGGCTTGGGGAAGCTGAGGCTGCCCTGACTAGCTGTGTGTGTGTGTGTGTGTGTGTGTGTGCATAGCATCTCTGTGTTGGGCAGGGGACTCACAGATGGTGTCTACTCCCAGCTGAGCAGGCCCTGTCTGCCCCTGTACCCAGGCTTTCCTGACGGGGCCAGTGTAGAACCTGGGGTATTGGGATAGAAGCGGCTCTTCAGATCCCCCAAGAGCGCGGGCTCAGGCATGGGCTTTTTCCTTCTCCTCCATCCCCTCATCATATGGGTGTCTGCCTGCCAGTGGAGAAAGGCGGAGGAGGTGTCTCCAGGACCTTTAGCCCCTTGAGGTGTATATTTGGGGAGCTTTGTTGACTCCTAGTATCTGGGGTCTTCCCAGGCGAGGAGGTCCTGTTCACAGGTTCTCCACAGGGGCCTGCTGCATTCCCAGCAAGGTGCTCATTGTTGGACGGATGGTTCATAGGGAGCCCCCAGTGCCCCCTTGTCCTAGCCCACCCTCAGCGTGGGTGTGGTGCGTGTGGGACTGGCCAGCGGTCACTCCAGGGCTGCAGCATCTCAGCACCCCCAGGACCCACAGGGGCACCCCAGGACGCTGCCCCTGACACACTCGCTTGTTCTCCTTCCTGCACAGAAACCAGGCAATGCGGAAAAAGTTGATCCTGTACTTCAAGAGGAGGAACCACGCCCGGAAACAATGGGTGAGTCACCCCATGGCCCGCTACAGCCGGCTGTCCTTGGAACCCACCTGCCTCCCCCCTCCTGGTCTGCCTCTGTGCCACCAGGCTTCCCAGACTGGGGTGTGGTGTGGAGAGGGCTCCTTCTCCAAGCGGGGGACTGTGAGAGGGTTCATTCCCCAGTAGGAATGGTCTAGGAAGAAAGCAAGATTGTCATTGTGGGGTCATCGTCCCCAATTGTGTATTGAGTTCTGCTCCCCTCAGCAATGAAGACAGGGCTGAGGCTGCCCTGCTGGGGCTATTAAGGACAAGGACACGGTGCCCTTGGTTGGTACCGGTGCACAGGATGTGACAGGTTCGGGCATGAGGACCAGAGAGGGCTTTTCTGATTGTGACTGAGCGTTGAGAGAGCGTTCAGGTGAGACTCACAGAGCCGCCATCTGTCCACTGCAGTTGCTCCTGATGGACAAGGGGCTCTTGTGGCCAGCCAGACAGCCCTGCCTGCTGGCGGCCACCGTCACCTTGGAGATGCAGAGGGCAGGCAGTGCTGGGCTTGTAGGCAGGGGGCGGACGGACTCGTCTCGTCTATGAAGACATGAGAGTGGCTGTAGCAAGTGGTACTACAGTTAGACGTGAAGGGGGACTTCCTGACCTTGGACAGATGGTAGAGCTGCTTCCTCTGGCACGGCAGCGGTGTTGGGCTGGGATTGGAGGAGCTGTTCAGGATGTGGACTCTAATTTGGAGAAGCCCTGGGCCTGATGTGCCTCACGCCTTTCTCGCGTGTTCTCTGTCCGCACTTCTAACATGGGCACAGGCCGCTCACACTGTGACTGGGCAGACCAAGAAGCACTGACCATGGTCTGGAATAATTTTACATGCTTGGAATTCAGCTGCCACCTGGGTCAGAGAGAAGGCATCAGGGTCATGAGGGCACCAGGGCAGGGAAGCTCTGCCGCAGTGTCCCCTGATCTGCCGGGACTGCATCCTGCAGCTGTGTGTATGTGTGTGAGTGTGTGAGCATGTGGACAGTGTGTGTGTCAGCGTGTGCAGAGCCATATGCATGTGAACGTGTGTGAGAGCATGTATGTGAGTGTCAGAATGTGCAGAGTATGAGTGTCTGAGTGTGCATGTGTCACCGTCTGCAGAACGTGCATGTGTTAGCATGTGCAGAGTATGTGTGCATGTGTGAGCATGCATGCATAAGCATGTGCAGAGAGTGTGTACGTGTGTGAGAGAGAGCATGCATGTGTCCACGTGTGCAGTGTGTGTTTGTGTGTATGAGTGTCAATGTGTGCAGAGTATATGTGTGTGAGAGCATGCATGTGTCAGCATGTGCAGAGTATGTGTGTGAGCATATATATATGAGTATCAGCATGTGCAGAGTATATGTGTGTGTGAGCATGCATGTGTCAGCGTATGCAGAGTATGTGTGTGCATGTGAGAGTGTGCATGTATCCATGTGTTCAGAGTATGGATGTGTGTGAGAGTGCATGTGTCAGTGTGTGCAGAGCA